ACCAAGCACGCTGTTTAGCCTCCATCGTTCTCACCCTTCAACCCGCTTAATATGAACCAGCAAATCTCGACCTCCAACTCCAACCTGAACCGGAACTCATACCTGAATTGGAAATCGAATCCCAAAAACAGCGTCGAGATTTAAGAGACATAGACAATGTTAGACAGGCATCAGACTAAAAAGGTGATGAAGCTCGCCAATGGTTCGCAAAGCAGCTTATGCTTCCTGAGTGGATGATTGATGTTCTTGAGCAATTAAATATTGACTGGTATGCTTTGGGTAGAAGAATTTTCTTTGTAGATCCATGGAATCAGGGTTTGAAAATTGAAAATGTATTGATTGGTATATTTTTTGGCTCAAACAATTAATGTGTCTTGTTTTACTGAAGAAGAGTATTGGCTTGTGAACATAGGGTTTGTTCTTAGGCCATTTCCGATATGGGTTCTTCGCAAGAATTTGTCTATCTATGTGAAATCATATGCCTGTGGATAGTGTGCCTGTCTATGTGAAAGGGGATGGATTTGAGGTGGGTGGAGAAGAAGACCAATTTTATTTTTTCCCTTTTTTAATTTTATTTTAATGTGGAGTTACAATTTTGCCCATTTAAAAACTATTAAAATGTGTTCAAAATCAATTTTTTGGTCAACTAACGGAATTTTGGATGAAAATCGTCCAAAGGGGCCCCATATGCAACGTTTGAAAGGTTAAGGGTGACGACTGTAACAAATTAAAGGTTTGGAAAAAGTCTGCTAGTATTATAAATGTTTGGGGCTTCTGCTGCCATTACCCTAAATAAAATGTGCAGATTAAATTTGAAATATACATAACACAAGAATACAAAACACAGGGAATGAGTTGTGTGGAGAGCTAACGAGAGAAAATTGAAATTGTCACTGCATGGGCAAATAAAATACATATTGTTGTATTCCTATTCTTTTGTTGATATAGTGAAAAATTGATGTGGATTTGTGAAAGTAAGCATGATTGTCGGATCACATAAATTCTTGTGTCATCCTTGCACTTATTTTTCTTCTCAATCTAAATTATTTTACATTCCACTGATCCCGACAGAATTAGTAACATTTAATTCCTAACACATAGATCTTAAATGCCTAGAAGAAAAATTCAAAGCAGTCCTTTACTCACTGGAGATATAGCTCTTTGATACCAACAATGCTTTCCCATCATGTAAGGCCTTTGGAAACTTTTCCAGCTCAATTATTAATTATATGGGAACACAAACCAATTTATTTGAATCATGAAAACAATTTAAGATGATGAATTACCATATGTAAGTATTTATTATCATGTTAAACTTGATTCTGTCTTTCTATTTATTTAATATATTTGGCTCATTTTTATAAACAATTTATATACGCTAATTATTTTTTTTCCACAACGTTCGAGTGACTCACAATTAGTAACAATTTATTCATTACTAGTTTATATTTAGGGCTTTGTTACAAAAACAAGGAGCCTAAACGAACACCACCATTAGACGGGCGGGGGGTCCCCCCTTTTTGGCGCGAGACCCACGCCCATGGGCGAGGTTCGGTCAGGGAGCGTGTCAGGTCTCCTGTTTTTCTAGCAAAATTCTTATATTTATCTATAATTTAGACTATATATAAACACTCCCCAAACATTGACACTGACGCACCAGTACCTGTGTCCATCACAGTGAACATTATTCCGTGTAACACATAATTCTGGATGTGTATTAAAAGACACATAGCTTAAGGTCATTATTATAATCTTATATAAATGATGCCATGAAATTAATTACTGCTTGTGTGAACTGTGAATGGATTACAGATACTTTACAAAAAGAATTTGAAGCGGCTAAGAGATAAAGGTCTGTTTGATAGTACTTTTTTAAAATCAAAAGTTGCTTTTAAAATTAAAAAAAATGAATTTAAATATATATTTGAATAATTTTCTACAGGTGTCTTATTTGACTAGATTAGCATTTGGAGGAAGTGCATATTGTAGCTTTCAAATATTTTTGATGTGGCTTTTATTTTTGTTTCTACTTCTTGTTGTAGTGTTTTATGGAAAAGTTACTTATATCAACTTCCTCTAAAAGTTCTTATAATCAGATATAATTTCATATAGGTTTGACATCCACAATGTTTATAATAATTTATAATCTTTTTAGTTTTATTATGGAGATTTAATAGATTATGTAATATTTTGCCACGTGACTCAAATTATTTTATATTTTCATGTAGAAATTATATAGAAGTCCACTCTTAAAGATTGCATATCAAAAATTAAAAGTATAGTTTATATATACAAAAATCATATGATAATACAATTTTAAATATTAAATAATTATAAAATTCAATTAGTTATATATTCAAACCTCAAACTCTAATATCCATTTCCTTCCTCATTTTTCAACCCGTTATGTCTTTATTCTCTTTCTTTCTACCTCGTCGTCACCGCCAGATGCAGAACAATGCTGCGCGACGTCGATCATCGTCATCGATAGCAATTTGCACACCTATTACCTGCATCCAAATCGAGCGGTGCATCGCCACTTCAACGATTTCGTCCTTGCAATTCTATGTTGTTCGAAGTCGCTGCTATGCACCGTATGGTGGTAGGATGTAATGGCGTTGGTGGCGGGGGGCTGAATATGTGGTATGGTAGAGATGGAAGATTGTTGGTAGTGGAGGTCGTAGTGGTAGTGGCAAAGGTTGAATTGGTGATTTTTGGTTCATGTGATGGAGATGGTGGTGGCGATGACTGCAGTTGTAGTTGTAGATTGGTGGTGATGGCGGTATTGCTGGTGGTCGTGGTGGTGTGGTAGAGATGGGGGATTGTTGGAGGGGTGGTCGTGGTGGTGTGGTAGAGATGGGGGATTGTTGGAGGTGTGGTGGTAGAGGTGGTAATGGTTGGGGTTCAAATCATCGATTTTTTGTTCAGGTGGTGGTGGTGGTGGCGATGGATGTGATGAGTCCCAATTTGTAGTCCTGGCAATGACTGTAATAATTGTTTTAGTGGCGGTAGATCTGGTGCGACGATATGGTGGTGTTTTCTACGATGGGTTGATTTATTTGAGGCATTGGTTTTGCTGTCGAGATGATGGTAGTAGTTTTGGCATGACGGTGATTGTGTTGCTGCTGGAGGCAGTGGTGAGATGGTGGTCACAAGTGTTGGTGGTGGTCATAAATTATTTGATTAACTACGACTATTAAATTAGTTAATCTGTGACCAATAAATAATATGTGATAAATGAAAAAGATAAATTGTGCTAACAAAATAATATGTGATCTAAAAAATTGTTAATTTGTGAACAATGATTTGATAATTTATAACTTTATAATAAGTTGTAATTTGTAATATTTGTGATTTGTAATCATTAAATAAATTGTGACTTGTAATTTATTTATGATTTAATAAATATCTGATTTTTAAAATTTGAAATATGAGTTATTAATTTTGAAATGGGTGATACTTAGCCTCTTAGTTTTGATTTTTTTTCCTAATTTTAATCCTTAGCTAATAGGGTCTAAGAGTATTTTCAAAAGATTTATTAAAAATGAAATGCTGTATTTTAAAGAGACAAATTTTAAAATTGTGATATAAGAGACTTTTCAAATTAATATTTTAAAATAGTAAATAGAAATTTGGAGAGCCAGATTTAGCCTCTATAATTAAATACATTCCATTCCAATTTTCAATGCTACGTATATTGACTCAATTAAAGATTATATACAAAGAAAATTGAGGAAAATAATATAATACTATCCAGGAAAGCTAGTGAAAATAACATATAGAAAAAATAATAAAGACATATTGTGAGCAGTTATATTAAAAGTGTTAACGATTAGGAGGTTGTTGGTGTATTTAAATTTTTTTTTACTTTTTAAATTTATAGAACTTTTTAAATTGAAAAATATGATATTTAAAAATAGAAAATTTCTTTGATATGCTCTAACATGTGCATGAATTTTTTTGTAATCTCTCTCTCTCTCTCTCAAATTAGTATTGCGTTTCTCTAATATTTCATGTTGTATATGAAATCGTGTCTCCATGAGATCGAACCCTTCTTCGAACTGCATGCGATTTTCAATTAAATTGGGGATAATGTTAGCGGTTTAGTAGTACTATTCCTAAGGATGGCAATCGAGTTCGTCGGCTAGGACCGTCCGTAGCTTTGTTCAAAAAATGCTCGAGCCCATCCGAGCCCCATTTTGGGTCGCTGGACAAAGCCTGACCCGGTTCGTATTGCTCGCCAGCTCGGGCTCACAAACTTATATATATATTTTAAAAGGCGGGCAGGTTGCTTCCTTGTTAGGCAGCAACATGTTGCCTTCTTTATTAATTAAAAAAAATAAATACCAAAACTACAATTAAAATCGAGCTTGCCCAGCTCAGCTCGAAAAGGATCGAGTCAAAAATTCGGGTCGAACCTAATTTTAGCTCGGCCCCAAAATAAAGCTCAATCGTTTTCTCCGAGCTGAACTCGAGCCTTAAATTTCGGCTCACGAACCAACTCTATTCGACTCATTAACATCCCTAATTGTTCCTTATTTTGTGATAGTTCCAAGTAGCACTAAAATATACAACTTTTAAGTCGTAGAAATTTTGCTATCTAATTTTAAGTCATATCAGGTGAAAAGTTGCGTGTGATTTTAATTTTGATTTTCAGATTGATCATGAGATCTAGATTTATGTATTTAGGTCAACATATAAGAGCTTTACCTTTTAAACATTGAAATTTCATAAATCATAAGCATACAAAGTGAAATGTTTGATTGTTCAGTTGTATTTCTTCTTAGATTTAAGTTTGATGAAAAATATATGGTTAAAAAATAAAAAAATAAATTAAATTTACTTATAATATTATTTTACTAATTGAGCCTCATTTTTATCTCATTAAAATGAAAAATATGATCGTTATCCATCACATCGAGCCATCACATTCGACTTTTATTTCTTATATGAAATTTATAACGACTATATTTTTCAGTGTCATTTTTTCAATAATTTGGCACAAACAGGTGCATAAACAGAAAAAGGCGACTTCAAGACGTTTCACTGAACATCCCTGCTATATATGTTCCCAGTTTTGTCCTCGATCCCCCTGCCACTGTTATTCGGAGCCCGCCTCCGCGCACAGCTTGGGTTTCTAGAAGTTATAGATTTTCCGATCATCAGAAGACAAGGGTAGAGGCATAAATGGGTGGAGGCAATGGTCAAAAGGCCAAGATGGCTCGTGAAAGGAACTTGGAAAATAAGAAAACCGCGAAAGGTAAATCCCTTTTTTTTTTTTTTTTTTAATCGAGCTTTTGATTTTGAGTGAATTCGTGTCATTTTTACGTTATTTTTTGTTTTCGATACTTTTTGTTCGATTTTCTGAATTTTCCGATCTGCATAGGAAGCCAGCTCGAGGCCAACAAAAAAGCTATGAATATTCAGGTACCCTTCCTTTGGAACTGTAGAAACACTCTCGTCTCTCGTACACGTGGAAAAGAGCTTGTACATTCATGTTATTTGTTTTCGCAAGAATCTATTTCCGTATGTTTTTCTTTGATTACAACAGTTAGTGAAACGTGATATTATTTACGGAGTAATTAACAATTAAAGAAATTGGGTAAATTTTGTCACTTTTATATGGGATGTAGAGTAAAAATTGTCAAGTTTTGGTGGAGAGGATTTCCATGAAGGAGAAGTCAAACGTGAAAAAGCTCTGGGGACTTCATCTACCATTACAATTTTCTTCAAAAGCTGAAAATCTCTATTAAAAGCTTCCTTTATCTTTTGTGGGAGCTCCAACCTCCCTCCCCACCCCATGGCTACATGTTTTTATATTTGAAATCTTAAAAGTTTGCTAGTTTCATTTCGAATGTTAATTTGGATACAGTTTGAATTCTATATATGATTTCCACGTAGCTGGGTCTATTATTTGAAAGACAAAATGATTTCAATTCTTAGGGGATTGGACTTGGTAGGTTCCCAAGCTGTGGTTCCAAATGCAGCAATCTCTTAAATGATTTGTGTTTATCATAACATTTTGCTAAATATTCAAGGCATTTATTAGTGTGTTCCAAATAACTCCTGTTCTTCTTTATGACACTTGAAAACTGTAAAACTAAATCCCTGCAAAATCTTTTCTTTCAGCTGCTCGTTCATTTTTAAAAGCTTTTAGATTTTCAGAGTTTGTCATCTGAAATCCTTTTTTCGAAATTCTTTTGATGCTATGTAGTTCTTTGAGTAATTTGTAAAGCAGTCCAATGTGTTCTCTGATATTTAGTCATGTTTCTCGCTCCTAATGCATTATAGTAGTATTGTACAATCTAGAACATGGATTTTAATGCCATTCCTGCTAATTGCAAATTACTTCTTTCGGCCAGTAGTATAAATGCAGCTTTGATTTCCCATGATGCTTTGAACAATTGCTTCTAATTAAACAGATTTCTTGCTATAAGATGGGTCCATTGGTCTCACTCCTCTGATATTATGCATAATGAATGACAAACTTTGGTAACTATGTCAGTTATTTGATTTGATTGATTCTTTAGTTGTTACTCGATGCAGTGCAAGGTGTGTATGCAGACTTTTATGTGCACCACGTCGGAGGTGAAGTGCAAGGAACATGTTGAAGCAAAGCACCCCAAAGCCGATATAGTCACTTGTTTCCCTCATCTTAAAAAGTGAATATACTTAGTGGTCTAAAGTTACGCAGAGAAGGGTAATATTGTTGGCATTCTGACATGTCTGATAATATTCAATAGCTAGAAAAGTTGTGGATTTGTGTGTATTTGTCTAGTTGTTTGTTGGAATGTAAAAACATGTTTGTAGTTTGCTCGTGAATCCCAGTGATGACTTTCCGTGTGAAGAATACATTTTATTTTAAATGTTACATGATTGTGTCTGCCTTTCTATTTCTACTGGTAGTTAAAAGTAAAAACAACATATTCTTCAATTGATCGAGAACTAAAGTTCAAATATGTAGAAAAAATAATTGGTTGAGACAGGTTAATATAGCAGAATGCCATTAGGGAAGGGAGAGCTGATTTTACTTTTCCGGGTAAGATTCCAGTTCTTTAATCAACTAAACATGAAGTGCTGGGGCATCATTTTAGAGTGCATTTGACACCCCTGTTCATGCTAAATATTGCATGACCAAGAAGCACATTTTAGAGATTGTACTGATAACTCGTACCTAGGAATTCGAAAGATTGTTTAGGCATCAAGAGAATTATGCTTTTCTATACCGATGATATGCATCTTTAACTTCAGTAATATTGGACGACATAGTCCACCAACCGACGAGAACATTGATTCAGGACCGCTACCTTCTCAATCTGTTAACCAGGTGATAGACAGCATTTTCAGTTCCTTTTTTTCCCCCAGATTGGTTCATGATATCAATCCATAACCATAGAAGTTTTGTCCAAAAGAGTCAGCTATTGAAATAACTTTTTGTGTTATGACACCCCCCTCCCACAACACCCACACATAGAGCCATTAGTCTCCTACATATCATATGAGCTCTCTCTCTTTATTATTATTATTATTATTATTAATTTTTTTTTTTTTTTTTTTTAGCAAGGTGTCCACCTTCGACGACTATTCCTTGGGTCTGTGATCCGACCCCTCTTCACACGGACCAATTAAATCGCGGGATGTGCCTCCTACTGACCAGGATCCGAGCTCCTTTCCAATTGAACTGCCAAAGTGCCTAGTGAGCCAACTTACGTTGCACCTTGCCTTCCAGGATAAATCCTGCCTTCCAGTATATGTCTTGCCTTCCAAGAGCCCCACGAATCGAATCCACGACCTCTGAACTGCCAGCCTTGAGAGAAACCTTCTTTTGCCAGTGGAGAAGTGCCCCAAGGGGCGAGCTCTCTCTCTCTCACACGCACGCACGCACGCGTACAACATGATTGTTAATATGTCTAATGACTGATGAATTGTTGCAACACTAAGAATTTGTGGTAAAAAGTGAGAGTTCTTGTTTTTGTTTTGTATCTTCATGTCGATCACAGAGACAACTTTTCTAATTTGGTGAAAGTTAACATTATGTCCCATTATTTTGATGTTTCATACACCGACATGGATTACAAAAGGAGAAGCTCGGAGTCATTAGAATTACAACTCACGAGCTTCCTTTGTAGAACTAGAATTGTTTCTGGATGTGATTAGAGATGGGTTATTGTAGAATTAGAATTGTCACCGGCTGTGATTAGACATCCCACATCCACTATTTAGTGATTTGAAATTAATTTTGACACTGTAACTATAGCTTGGCTTATCAAATTTACACTTAGTACAATCTCACATCATCTTTCATATCTTACACATTTAATTCAATCATCACAGTCTTGTCATATCATCCATCAACAACGATGTCAAAGTTAATGTACAAATAGTTTAATTGGGTGCAGAGAATCACTGTGTCTCTCCTAGCTAGTCTCAATTTACTTTTCTTATTTTCACATCAACGGAAAAGGGAAGTCTTTGTCACACCGCATATCTACTTCGACGTGATATTATTACAATTTCCTTAAGCTACTTAAAGCTAGAGTTCACATATTGGAAATTGGAAATCTTTTAATGTCACTCTTTTTATGATTCATTGAATGGGTAAGATTTTAAAAGTGAAGCACTAAAAAAAGGCAAGAGGGACAGTCGAGAAAATATGGTTTCATGTCCATGTCTGAGATGATGGTGTCTTTATAAGTAACTTTTAAATTCGGAGATCAGATGATTTCTTGGACATGGTTCATTCAATTCAAATTTGTTTTAATTATTGGAATCTAATGTTCATTTGGTGGCAGACACATCAAGATATTGATTAATTGGAATAATTTTCATGTGGTAGGTCTAAAATACATCATAAACAAAGAATAGGAAGCCTCCGTTCGTCCATCCTATCTATATAAAGGCCCATTTGACATGAATTTTTCTTTTGTTTTTGCTTATTGTAGAAGAGTTTTTCAAAGAAGCGCTATCTTATTTATTTATTTTTTTCAAACTAAGTTTTGAAAGCACTTTTTTTTTTTCAAATGTGCTTTAAAGAAAGTCATATTCGATCAGTTTCCTCTAAAAACTTTTCTAATTATTGAATATGTTTTCATAAAATTAGGCAAACGGGTGCGAAAACAGTTTTTGGATTTCAAAATCCATATAAAATTGCCCTTAAATAATTTATCAATCACGTTTATCTAGATCAGATTCCTTCCATATTTTTAAACAAATCTGTGCTTATATTATTATAAAGGACAGATTATTGGAATGGTTTAAAAAACACTCAAGAGTCTGCACCATGACCCTAAATAATAAAGAATTCACATCCCATTTGGCGATGGGATTTCTTTGCCTAGGTACAAAATTTTCCTCTTGTGGCAGGGTTATTTGGTTTTAATCGAGCATGCATATTTAAAATTTTAGGGCCCGTTTGGTAGGGATTTTGAGAATTGATTTTTTGACCGTTAGAAGAAAAGTGGGATCCACATGTGAGAGAAGAAGTCAAAAATTACGACTTGAATAGTAAAATAACAGTCAAAAAATCAATTTTTTGGGGCAAAAAATTCCTACCAAATGGGGCCTTAATGTCAGATGGCATTATAAAGTAAAACAATCAAGAACCCTAAATGTCATTTACAATGGAAGTAACGAAAAGTCGCAAGAAAAGTACTGAGGAGGAGCTGGCTTCAACACTAATATATGGATATTGTCATGTTAGATATATGTAAGTTGAGATATTAAGTTCTTGTTTCATTTTGATTAAAAATAAATAAATAAATAAAACTCATTTATGTTCACACGTCTCTTAATAAAGTAATTTTGTAATTGGAAAGTTATGGATCACATAAACTATGTGGTTGAGATGAATAGTAGACTTTGACTAATTGAATTAAAATTAGAATTTAAATTTTAATCCCTACCGAACACGGAATTAATCTAATCAAGCTTAAGCATAGAATTGATATTAGAACTCACGGAATCAGTCTATAAAAGTTATCATACTGACTCCGAATGGGATTTTTATTATTTTTTCAAGTCATGTTCGAGCTTAAAACCTGCATAAGCCGAGGATGATGATTTAATATATCTTGTCTCAATTTCTCTTCGACTTCAGAACTATTTTTCTTTATACTAAAGAAACTAGGATTTAATAATTCTTGTCTTGTTGTAAACTTTATACGGCTTGAAGAAGAAGAAAAACTTGGCCCAGAATCTGATGCTAATGGAGTTTCCGTATCTTTCCTCTTCCGGTAATAACTTTTTGGGCCTAAAGTCAGCTCAAGTTCACTCTCGTCTTCTTCTTCGAAATTCTCAGCAGGCTGTCCCAAGTCGAGATACTGTCGTGCCTTCTTATGTACATCGCCATGACCATTCATTTGCTCGGAAATAGACTCAAAATCGTGCATATTTTGCCTATTTTTCGCTACACCAGTCATTAGTATCTTCTGTTTATGATACAAACGATGAAGTTCCCGAATCTGCAAAAAAGAAAAAAAGAAAAAAGGGTACAGTTTCGAGCTAAAAGAAGATGGGTTTATAAGCTTTTAAACGACATGGCTCGACTGAAGTGAGTGAAATCTTTAGCTCACTGTGTTCATATATAAGAGGTTAATCTTCAGAAATTTTCATAAAAAATTGTAGAGAAATCAATATACCTGCTCTCTAAACGTTTCCTCATGCTTTAACATGGTCATCTTCATGTATTCTTTGTCATATGGATTCAGAAACTTCTCCATTGAAACTTGTGCACTAGTTTTGGCTGATAAATAAAGCCAATAATCATATGAACACTGCTTCAAGGATCTTATGCTCCAACTAATCGATCTGTATAGTGCATATAGATGGTATAGACAATTTGTGAGTATATTTCCTATTGTTTTCCTCTATCTGTATATGCGGAAAAGGACTAATATTAAACATAGGTAAATGAAATTTAGTACTATGCATGCATGCATTTAGTATGAATCTGATGAGTGCAGTATCATTATTTCTGCGCCATAATAATAGTATTACCAGGAACCGTTCGTCCATCCTATCTATATAAAGGCCCATTTGACATGAATTTTTCTTTTGTTTTTGCTTATTGTAGAAGAGTTTTTCAAAGAAGCGCTATCTTATTTATTTATTTTTTTCAAACTAAGTTTTGAAAGCACTTTTTTTTTTCAAATGTGCTTTAAAGAAAGTCATATTCGATCAGTTTCCTCTAAAAACTTTTCTAATTATTGAATATGTTTTCATAAAATTAGGCAAACGGGTGCGAAAACAGTTTTTGGATTTCAAAATCCATATAAAATTGCCCTTAAATAATTTATCAATCACGTTTATCTAGATCAGATTCCTTCCATATTTTTAAACAAATCTGTGCTTATATTATTATAAAGGACAGATTATTGGAATGGTTTAAAAAACACTCAAGAGTCTGCACCATGGCCCTAAATAATAAAGAATTCACATCCCATTTGGCGATGGGATTTCTTTGCCTAGGTACAAAATTTTCCTCTTGTGGCAGGGTTATTTGGTTTTAATCGAGCATGCATATTTAAAATTTTAGGGCCCGTTTGGTAGGGATTTTGAGAATTGATTTTTTGACCGTTAGAAGAAAAGTGGGATCCACATGTGAGAGAAGAAGTCAAAAATTACG